GTGTAGTTTTGATTAGATTTAGTAGCAATCACTATTTTGTGATCATGGTCCACACAAGCTGTGTGAACTATTTTTTGAAATACTATAAAATAATGAACATTTAATATACATTCAGTATACAAATAATGTACTTTTAGTACATTCAAAATGTACTTTTTTTTTTATGGTCCATGCAATATTATGTGAACCATGATCCACACAATAATTTGCCGTTTAGTAGATATGATTTATTTTAAATAAAAAAGTTATATTTTATATGTTTTTATTTTTTATGCTTTATTATTGTAATACTTATATACTTAATAATGTTAATTGAGAATGTTTTGTGGTTTTTATTATAACATTTAATGAAATTTATTTATACTCAATTGATGTAGAAAATATTGATGGCCAAGTGCATCCCAATATTTGATGTTTTTATTTAAATCCTATTTCAATAGGCTACAGAATTATGATGCCACATCTTTCAATATATATATATATATATATATATATATATATATATATGCACACACACAATTTTAATTGTGCATCGCACGGGTGGAATACTAGATAATGATCATGCAGGTACTAGGGTGTTGGTTCCTCGAATGGCTATGACACCATCAGGTCCAAAATTGTCATTCAAGTTTAAAAGAAGACAATTCTCATTAATGTTTTTATATGCAATGATTATAAAAAAAATTCAGGACAAACGTTATCCCATGTTGGATTGTTACTCCAGAAGTCCATTTTTGTACACGGACAGTTATATGTAGCCGCATCTAGAATAAGCAATTCTAAAGGTCTCAAGATTTTGATCTGTAATGAGTTAGGCAATAGTTGTAATTCAACCACTAATGTAGTTTACAAAGATGTCTTTAATAATTTGTAATTTAAAATAATTTCAGATTTTGTAGCACTAATGCTTATTACTTTTTTTTTTGAAAACCTAATGTTTATTACTTAGTATGTTTAAATCCCTAATTTGAAATCCTACAAGCATTGTAATATCCACATAAAAAATGATTATCTTATAATAAACAATAATAAATTCATTAATGTTAAAATTTTGATCCGTGCATCGCACGGGTATCATACTAGTAAAGTATAAAGGAAAAGTAGATGTAATCTGTCACCATATTAATTAAATTAGATATTAAAGAAATATCTAGGAGCACAACTTGATCAAACAATTGAAGCTATGGGCCAACTTTTGGAAAACTATGCACATTTGAGCCAACAAGTCAGTGGGTGAAAAATTATTGAGTGATACTGCTCTGTACTATAATTGCTATAGCTTTAAAATGTTTACCTAACATGGTTGTTGTGATTGAGTACGTAAATGACTAATGTTAAACTTGATAATTTTCAACATAATTTGTTAACACACAAATAATATGTTAGTATTTAGTATTAACAAGTTTTGATTGGTCAACAAATTGGCACGACTAGAACATCTAGTAAAAAGAAAAATAGGTCATCTATAAATTTAAAAATTATTTCAAATATATTATAGTATAATATAATGTTATAACGCATAAAATATTGTGAGTGTATCAAAACTCACAAGAAAGCCATATGTACTGGATATGAATTTATTTGTTGGCGATATTTGTACAAATAATTAATGTTTTAAATGCCAATGACCTTGTGGTCTAGTGGCATAAAGTGACTTTTCTAAATAAGAGATCATAGGTTCACTGGGATTAGTATTGACTCTTTCTTGCTTTTTTGTGTTTTAATATATAGGTTGAGAATATTGACTATTTTGTGCTCTTTGTACTTTAGTAGGTTGAGAAAATTGTTATGAACAGATACTACACTTGTAACAGAGTTTGTAGTACTAAAAAAAAAAACAAAGGCTTTAAATGCTACAGATAAACACAGATCCTTATCCATGATATTGGGGCAAGTTCAATTCAATTGAGTGATTGAATTGCAATTGCAATTGTTGTTGCCATGTTTTACTTCAATTTATTTTTATTGAATGAAAACAAAGAACAAAACAATTGTTGTAGAGGAAAACCAAGACTTGTTTAACTTCATATTTGCCATACTAAGACAATGTGGCAAGCTAAGACAAACTTCAAGGAAACTCCAATTCCACGAGCAAAAATGAAATCAATTGGTTATCATATACAAGTTGTGTTATCTTATATTCTTGTAATAAAAAAAATGGGAAATTAATTATAACTTTTGTCGGATGATGTATATACACGTCAGAGTATTATTATAGTATACACTTGAGAATTAATTACAGTTTTAAAGAGCAAGTGTATATACTTCAAACAACTTCAAAGATAATATAAGTAAAATCTTTTTGCATAGACCAATTCTAAGAAATAATTAAGGTGTAGACCAATTTTGAGAAATTAATTATAACTAGTGTCTTGACCATTGCAAAAATGTCTAAATTGGTAGCAGGTGGAAAGGTTAGGTAATGGAAAAGCGACCTATATATGCATGCACAAAAAGAAAAAAATTTCTTACAAAATATAATTGCTAAATCTAATAATCATGGGTAATTAAATTAATTTGTACAACCTATTAGTTATTTTGAGTGAGGTTCACTTTTAATTTGGATTTGGTCAAAGTAAACTCAAGTTCTTCAAAGTAAGAGGTTTCCAAATTGATTCTCAAAGTGTGTATCTATTAAATTAAGAAAAATGGAGCTTCGAAAAAGTAAAAAGTTTGTATGTTTGTAATAGTATAAATGCAATTTAACTTTTGAATAAATTACAATTTTGGTACTGTGATTGTTGGATCTTGTTAATTGCAATTTACGACTTTCAAAACTGTTAATTAGTACATTAACTATTTAATTTTTATCAATTTTGATCATTCCTACTGGCCAAATGTCACTGAAAAAATTTAATTAACCAATTAATGTTTAATGTAAGGGACAAAATTGTCTTTCTATGTCCCGGATCGGAGGACCCTTCTTCCCTCTCCCTGCCATCGTTTTCTAATTCCACTGTCTTTCTAATTGGGATGGGATTTCTTAATCAAAGAACATATCTATTCTATTCTATGATGAAATGGAATTTACATAATAATTCTGAATTTGACAAATGAGCGTATCCTAAAGCGTATCTGTAAAGCCACCTGTCCTTGATTGCATTCAAATCCTAGCCATCGTTGATCTTCTATCAGGAAGTGTTAAAGATACAGTAGATCTTCTATCAGAAAGTGTAAGAAATTAGACAACAATGGCGGGAAGAGGGAAGAAGGTTCCTCCGGAATATAGAAAGACGATCTTACCCCTTACATTAAATATTAATTGAATAATTATTTTTTTTGGGTGACATTTGGTCCTCAATTTAGTTAGAGTGATAAAAATTGAATAGTTAAAAGATACTAAATTAATAGTTTTCAAAGTCGCGGATTGCAATTAACAAGACCCAATGTAATTGTCACCGAATCTTATATTACCTTAGAGAATTTTAGATTGCTGGAATGTTAAATTACTGGGTATGTTAGATTAATGTGCTTGGTTAAAATTGAGGTAGGTAATAATTATTATTTTTACTTGGTGTGGGGGTTATCTTTTATGTTATAATTATTATTTTTACTTTAATATCGTTAATATATTTTCATGTATTTCAATACACTTTAAAATTAAAATAAATAGATAAGATAATGGTATTATATATAATTACATGATTTGAAAATATTTAACTAACATAACTTGTGAAACAAAATTATTTTATAAGTTAATATGACGTAATAAAAATAAAATAAAATAGATAATTACAAAAATAATTAAAAATGATGCATATAATAAGTTCACATAAAATATATATTTTATAATAATTAGAATTAAAAGGGAAACAATGTTTAAATATGCACGGTAATCTTGGATAACCTAAGAAATGTAAGGTAATCACAATCCTTTCAAAATCCTATGTGGAAGGTATGTTGCATTCTTTTGGTAATGTTACATTCCCTTGGGAAAGTAAGATAACATGAACTAAACATGGGAATGTAAGCTTAAGAATATTATACATTCTTTTGAATATAGAAGAAATGCTTAGAAGATTAACTCAAACAATCCATATAAAGAAATTAAAAGTTGACATGTTTATCATTTTAAGTAAACTATATTTTATCTTTCATTTTATGATTATGTTATTCAATATATTATTATTTTACAGAGAAAATTGAGTTCAAATGGTGCTCTCTATATATAAAGAACCAAGTGAAATATCATTTTCTAAAAAATAAATAAGTCACTAATATTATTTTGAAATTTACCTTTTTAAAAAGTAGTGAGTTAGAACCACCTTAAAAGTTAAAAGGAACAAAGGATAAAATTTTTTATTTTTTTTTAAAAGCAAAAGGTTAGAAGTGTTTAAATTTTAAAAATATACATTATTTTAGATAAAATAAAAAGAAAAGTAAGATAAATAATTAAATTGGAAGAACTGAGTATTTGCTAACTTAATTAAGAAAAGATGTAATATAATTTCTTAAAAAAAGATGTAATATAATAAAATTTTCTACATTTTTATTAAATGTGGTTTTTATTGTATACATATTTATTTACTTAAAAATGAGAAGTTGTAAAACAAAATCCCATAAATAAAACTATTTAAATCATAACAATAATCATTGTCATCTTTTAGTTTTGATCTTCTCTTGACCCAATAATCATTTATTTACTTTTAACATCTAATTTAGTATAAATGAAAAAATTGATGACAAGTTATTGTTGCAGGATTGAATGATTAGCTACTCTGATTTTTAAAAACAAATTATGTGGCTCTATTGTTGTCGATTGATGATAAATTTAATATTTAGTATAGTACTTTTATACATATTCATTTCGTTTTATAGATGCATACTCATTTGCAAGAAATTGATAAGAAATGCACTAAATTAAATATTTAGTGAAATATATATTGTTTTATAGAGCAAAGATAAATAAGAAATTACCATTCGATGTGAGATTCCAGGATGTCTTTTTCATTTGGATTGTGCCACTCCAATGATTCCCACCATTCTTTCTCACTTTTACGTAAGTTGATCTTTTGAAAGGATGAAGGAAGGTATGGTTGTTTACTAGCTTCATCAATAGGAAGAAATGAAGGCATCCTCTTAATATTTTGACAACGGAAAATGCTTATTTCTTCAATGGAAGGGCAAACCATTTCTCTACCATTGCATATGCTTTTCAATTTTGGCAGCACCTCTAGTCCTAAGTGTTTAAGCTTGGGTAGACATGATATATTTGAGGATGATGACGGTCGGGTATTACTGCTGCCTTCTTCATCCCCAACTCCTATTACCACTTCTAGGTTCTCACACCATACTGCCTCAAGTATCTCAAGATTTTGGAGATTTTGCAATAACGCCTGTGACAACAACTTCTTCATACTATCACAATACCATATATACAGATGTTTAAGGGATGAGAAGGTGCAATCTGGAAGAATAATTACATCTTCTCCCTTAAACAAACTTACTAATCTTTGCGCAGCTTTTGGAGATGCAACTTCTCAGGACACTTAAATGGGGTGGCTGCATTTTCTATTATTTGTTCGCTATCCCAAATCCACTCTGCTTCGAAGGAATTATATACACGTAGTTCTCTCAGATTATTGCTCATTGATTGGAAATGGTCTAATATGCACCCATCTAACCCGTCACATTCCTTAATTCGTAAACGACAAATGTTTGCAGGAAGCAATACTTTAACTTCTTGACCTCTTTTCCCTTCAAAATTGATTTTATTGAAATAAACACTCCTCTCTTCACTTTCTGGCTCTGTATCACAGCAGCCTACAGATATGTGGTAGCATTTAAGTTGCTCAAGTTTTTTAACCAATGTAGTGTTGTTGAAGCTGTGCAAATCATCATAGATGTTTGTAAATTCTTGAAGATGTGTCAAACAATTAACTTCCTCACTCTGCAAGCTCGGACAATAGTGCAAATGGAGGCATCTAAGATTTCTTAGATTTGCTATTACCCCTTTCGGAATCTCCAAGTATTTGCTTGTGTGCCTCATATATAGATATTGGAGATTCACTAAACATCCCATGTCTTGAGGCAATTCCCTAATTCCTTCACAACCATCAATATTTAACACCATCAATTTCTTCAGCTTCTTCATTCCTGGCAAACAACTAATCCTTTCACAACCTTTAAGATATAATCCATAAAGATTCTCCAAATCTGAGATAGAATTGGGAAGACACTCCAGCCCTTTGTTATAACTTAAATCTAGGACACGAAGCTGTGTCCTCATGTACAACAAGAAAGATTCTGGGATTCTTTGAAGCTGCAAGGAATCCATGTAATAAGGCCTTTGCAAAATCAAGGTTGAAAGGCTAGGGCATCTGGGGGAAAAGTCATCTGGAATTTCTTTTATTTCACTTCTCATAAAAGAAACTCTCTCCAATTCAGCGATCCAATGTTTCTCCTCCGGAATTTCAGTGAGATTAGATTTAACCATGAACTTTGAGATCCTTAAAGCCATTTCTCTCATTAAATCATGCATCTTAACATACCCTATTCCGTTATACCATTCCCCCCCTTCCAATAAGAAAACCTTTTCTAGATGATTCAATATGGAATGACCTTCATCTCTATCTTCACATAATCCTTCTGCAATCAACTTTATTATTATTTCATCCTTCGGAATCTTATCATCTTCAGGATACAAACAACAATAAAGGAAACACTTTTTCCACTTTTCACGATCCAATTTGTTGTAGCTAAATTGGAGTATATCAAACACACCTTTTTCCAGCTGATCTCCCATTTGAGGACAACCATTTCGGAAATTCTTAATGGCATTCCTCCAACTGTGGTTATCATTCACCCCTCGCATGCTTGCAGCTAAAGTTTTGAGTGCCAATGGTAAGCCGCCACACTTTTTGGCCAATTCTTTGGCATGTTTTTCAATAGCATCAGTGAGCACAATATCCTTATCTTGTACTAAAACCTCCTTGAACAAATTCCAAGCTCCCTCCTCATTAAAAACATCAACTTTGAACAGCTTGTCGCATCCAATCCAATGGCACACATCTTGTAATCGAGTTGTTAAAATGAGCTTGCAACCCTTATCCTTATGAGGGACACCCAATTTCACCAAGTCAATTTTGTCCCACACATCATCCAATATGAGTACAACATTATTCCTCCCTAGATGACTGCATAAAATAGCAGCTCTTTGCACTTCATTGTCCACATCCGAAAATCCAATACCAGCACTTCTCGCAATGTTATCTTGTAATTTTCTGATGTTAAAATCTTGAGAAACTGTAACCCAGTAAACATTAGCACGAGGGTTTTCTTTGCAGATTTTGTTATATAGATGTTGTGCCAAAGTTGTCTTTCCAACACCTCCCATTCCATACACCCCGATACTAGTCACATTTGCATCCTCTACCCATCTATATATTTCTACTAAATTAATTTTAGATGCTGTCCCAAATAACTGATCAACATTGAGTTCATATGATGTACTCACATCCAGTGTAGGTTCAACAGTATTACTTCTGCCCTCTTCTCTAAGCTTTTTAACTCTTTCTGTCATCCCTTCGAGTTCTTGTGCTTTTATTAACTTCCGAGCATTCTTCATTATGAATCCCGCACCTTGTATGCTTTCCTTGAATGTTTCAAAGTTTGTTTCCAACTTATTTACTTGCTGAAGCCAACCCTCGACTCCTTGTTTCCTCTTCCTTTGCCCTCCTCTTTCTAAGTTCTTCAACTTTGCTTCCATGTCATTCGCCTCCATATGAAGTTGATCTACTTCAGCTTTTAGAGTTTCCAGATTTTCATCAAAATCCATATATCCTTCAAATTTACTACGTAATGAGAGTATCTGCTCCATTGCGTCTACCAAGAAAAAGCAATGGCCAACAAAATGAGTAATTTGAACAAACAAGAAAGCACTGAAGAGTTAAATTGGATAACAGACCACTATTTTGCATGCCTAATTGAAAACTGGAAATTTAACAGCTAGAAGCCTGAAATATATATGTTAAATTAGTAGGAAACTGAGAAATATTAAAACACAAAAAGTCGGATGACCACAGCTGGTAAATCGCTAATACTCGGAGGACCATCGGAGGTATTAACTCATAACGTGACGTTTGGTTCAAAAGAATAAAATGAAAAGGAATAGAATGTAATTCCAACAAGAATGGAATAACAAAGGAATAAAATAGGAATAAAAGGGTAATAAACATGAGATTATATAAGGAATCATATTTTTGTGTTTGGTTAGATCATGGAATAGAAAAAGAATATCATTTAAATAACTAAAATGTTCAATTCATATTCAAAATAAAATGCATACAAATATACAAATACTCACTGGCCTTCTAAAATAAAATAAAATAATAATTATGATGCAACATGATCATCTACATACCTTTAAGAGACCAGAATAGATCTATACCGGCCCGCAGTGCAACAGCCATAATTTGCCTTTAGAAACTGGAAGGATTTAACTTAACGGTAGCTTAACAGCAATGAAGAAGCCAAAAACCTAACACACAGAGAGGGATATACTTAAAATTTTCTTAGCTTGAAATAAATTAATTAACAACAAAGTCACCAGAGCTCTTCAAAAAAAAAAAATGGTCACCTGAGAAATTCATTGGAAGGAACAAAGAAACTTCAAAGAAACCCCCAAGCTAGAGTTATTTGCTGTTTCTGTAGGTACTGTACAATTTCTATTGTCTTATATGTGCACAATGAGAAATAATAATGGCATTGTTTCTTTTGACAAATTATGTGTATGGATGGTACCTACCAGTGAATTATTGTACTAAAGAAATTAGGATAAGATCGAATCCAATGCCACATATCTAGTTGGATGACCAAGACTTGTCTACGTCAAGAAATTTTGTTGTGATCCATAAATAAAAAAAAATATTTTTAATATAATAAAGATGTACTGAATATACATTATTTGATAATATACAAAATAGTGTACTTTCAATACTTAAATAACGTAGTTTTAAACATTTTGTAAAATAAAGTTTAAAAATAGAGTATGATGCTGATTGACCTTTTTGGTATAGAAAACCTAAAAATGCAACTGGGCTGGATGTATTCATTTTCAATAGGCGTAGGAGTTTTACTGATGTCTACAAACACCTAAGCAAATATTTTTTTTTGAAAGTACACCTAAGCAAATATAATTAAGAAGAATATAACAATTATGCATACCTTTATGAGTCCAGATCGAATAGTTAAAAGTAATCTGAAAAATAAATATAAATTATGTAAGAATTAATTAAAACTCAATAAAAATAATTTTACCAAATAAATTTAGGGTGTGTTTGGAAACCTGGAAAATGAGTTCTGGAAATCATTTTTCAAGTTTCCATTGTTTGGATGTGTCTGGAAAATCAAGTCAACGAAAATCATTTTCCGTTGACTTTGAAAAATATAATGTGATGTTTGGTTCAAAAGAATAAAAATAAAAAGAAATAGATTATAAATCCAAGAAAAACGGAAATGGTAATAAACATGAGATTATATAAGGAATCATATTTTTATGTTTGGTTAGATCATGGAATTGAAAAAGAATATCATTTAAATAACTAAAATGTTCAATTCATATTCAAAATAAAATGCATACAAATATACAAATACTCACTGGCCTTCTAAAATAAAATAAATTAATAAGTATGATGCAACATGATTGTCTACATACCTTTAAGAGTCCAGAATAGATCTATACCGGCCCGCAGCGCAACAGCCATAATTTGCCTTTAGAAACTGAAAGGATTTAACTTAACGGTAGCTTAACAGCAATGAAGAGACCAAAAACCTAACACACAGAGAGAGAGATATACTTAAAATTTTCTTAGCTTAAAATAAATTAATTAACAACAAAGTCACCAGGGCTCTTCAAAAAAAAAAAAAAAAAAAAAAAAAAAAAAAAAAAAAAAAAAAAAAAAAAAAAGTGACCTGAGAAATTCATTGAAAGGAACAAAGAAACTTCAAAGAAACCCCCAAGCTAGAGTACTTATTTGCTGTTTCTGTAGGTACTGTACAATTTCTATTGTCTTATATGTGCACAATGAGAAATAATAATGGCATTTTTTCTTTTGACAAACAAATTATGTGTATGGATGGTACCTACCACTCTACCAGTGGGTCAAGAATGTTTCCAAGTCAATTACTGTACTAAAGAAATTACTATAAGATCGAATCCTATGCCACATATCTAGTTGGATGACCGAGACTTGTCTACGTCAAGAAATTTTGTTGTGATCCATAAATTTAAAAAAAAAAAAATTTAATATAATAAAGATGTACTAAATATACATTATTTAATAATATACAAAATGGTGTATCTTCAATACTCAAATAACGTAGTTTTAAATATTTTGTAAAATAAAGTTTAAAAATAGAGTATGATGCTGATTGACCTTTTTGGTACAGAAAACCTAAAAAGGCAACTGGGCTGGATGTATTCATTTTCAATAGGCGTAGGAGTTTTACTGATGTCTACAAACACCTAAGCAAATATAATTAAGAAGAATATAACAATTATGCATACCTTTATGAGTCCAGATCGAATAGTTAAAAGTAATCTGAAAAATAAATATAAATTATGTAAGAATTAATTAAAACTCAATAAAAATGATTTTAACAAATAAATTTAGAAGAAGAAGATATAGATTGTGCAAGAATTAATTAAAACTCAATAAAAATAATTTTACCAAATAAATTTAGGGTGTGTTTGGAAACCTGGAAAATGAGTTCTGGAAATCATTTTTCAAGTTTCCATTGTTTGGATGTGTCTGGAAAATTAAGTCAACGAAAATCATTTTCCGTTGACTTTGAAAAATAGACTTGTTTTGGGGAAGTCATTTTCCAACTTTTACACCAACATCACACCACCACCAACATCATCAACACCATACCACCACCATCATCAACACCATACCACCACCACCTCACTATTACCATCACCACCACTACTGCCGCCGCCACCACCACTATACCACCACAACCATCGCCACCACACCACCACCACCAACATCATCAACACCACCACCACCACCATCAACACCATACCACCGCAACCACCACTACCACCGTCGCCGCTACCACCGCAACCACCGTCGCCACCACCACCACCATACCACCGCAACCACCATACCACCGCCATCACACCACCACAACTACCACCACCGCCGCCACCCCCACGACCATACCACCACAACCATCGCCCCCGCTACCACCACCACAATACCACAGCAACCACCGTCGCCGCCGCCACCACCACCACCAGTTATTATTATTATTATTATTATTATTATTATATAACAAATAACACCACTACCACTACACCACCACCACCACCACCACCACATTACCACCACTATACCATACCACCATAATATTTTTGATATATTATTAGTTATTTTTTATTTTATTATTATATTATTATACATGTTGTAATACTCTAAATAAAATAATTAAAATATTTAATTATACAATTCTACTCATTTTACAGAAAATGAACCAAACACACAAAAATATTTTTCCAGAATGCAACCAAACACTGGGAAGAAAAATATTTTTCGGAAAATGACTCATTTTCCAAAAGTCATTTTCCTACTTTCCAAACGGACCCTTAGAAGAAAGAGCTAGAGAGAGCATATTAACTCTTTTTTTTTGTTAATTTAGAGTAAAAGACATTTTTGGTCCTAGACTTATAGTGGCTTGGACAATTTTAGTCCTTTATAAAAAAAAATTTGCCATTTTATGGACAGAGTTATTGTGGCGAGGACATATTTGGTCCTCCGTCTATATTTCGAGGACATTTTTGGTCCTCCGTCTATATTTCTGTTAGATAACCGTATGAGAGAGGGGCAATTACGTCAATTTAGGCTATCTCCTTCTATATATTATATCAATGTGTGTTTGGCGGCTTCGATTTTCCTTCTATCTATTTGATTAGTAACCTGTTTGGCGGCTTCGATTCTCCGGCAATTTCTTCGTACAACTGCAACTTGGACTCTCCAACTCCTTCGAATTATGACCGAGAAGAAAACAAAACACACATAGATATAATAGATAGAAGGGGATAGCCTAAATTGACGTAATTACCCCTCTCTCAGATGGTTATCTAACAGAAATATAGACGGAGGACCAAAAATGTCCTCGCCACAATAACTCCGTCCATAAAATGGCAAATTTTTTTTATAAAGGACTAAAATTGTCCAAGCCACTATAAATTTAGGACTAAAAATGTCTTTTACTCGTTAACTTATGTATAATTAAGAATAAAAAGTTTTAAAATTTAGCATATATATTTTAAATTTGAAATTATTTATACTAAATAGGTGTGAGTCACAGTCAGCAAATTCCAATGTTTTTTGAGCAGGTATATATATAAATTTTTTATTGAATGAAAATCAAGAATTTTTCGAAAGTTAATGCTTCAGATCGAACAAACATTTGCTGCAGAGGAAATATAAAAAAATTCATCTATTTAGTCAAGAGAATATATGCATACCTGCAGCACAGCAACTATGGTTTGTGTTTTGAAACTAGAATTCAGTTAGCAGTAGCCTAGATGCAGATAGAGAACAGAGAGAGAGAGAGTCACCAAAGTCAGGAGAGTAGCCTAGATGCAGATAGAGAACAGAGAGAGAGAGTCACCAAAGTCAGGAGAGAAATTCAATGGAAGAAGAGGAGAAGGAAATTGAATGGAAGGAGTCATGAAATTTCAAGGAAACATCTTTTTTTTTTTTTTTTTTCTCTATTACATTGTAGTATCTGTCTACTGAAACACAAAGAATCAATAACGTCTCCACTGAGTCTTGAACTCATAATCTTCTAAATGAAAATGGAAGTCAAGTACCATTAGACCACATAGTCCTGGTAACATCTTTTTTATTTGTTATCCTTTTTCTTCTTTTCTCTTTCCGATCCATCTCTCTCCTACATTGATTCGAAAAAAATCAAGTAAATGCATACTAATGAGGTTTTTCTAATTCCTACCAAAAAAAAATGAGGTTGTTCTAATACTTTGTGCTATAACCAACTGAGCATTAAAATTTACACCTAACATGGTTGTTGTGTTGACTAATTGCCTATTGGTAGTCTTAAGATGGAAATTAAAAATCCAATAAAAAATAAATTTAATTAAATGAGATATATATAAGATGGAAATTAAAAATACTATAATACTAATTATAAAATTATAAATCATTTCAAATATATTACAATCTAACGTCATAAATCTTTAGATTGAGTTAAATTCTCAATCATATATGAAACAATTAGGTAATCCAATAATGAAAAGGCTTTAAAAGATATATAAGAAAGGAAAATGTAAAATGTACTCCAAGTGAATATAACTCTTAGTATATGTACATATATTATTGAATACACAAAAGTAAATGATGAATACCTTTCAAAAACAAAAGTAAATGAATAGATTAGGACTATGTGGTCTAATGGTACCCGAGTTAGACTTTCATTTGGAAGATTATGAGTTTGAGTCTCAGTGGAGGCGTTATTGGTTCTCTTATTACATTGTAATAGAATCAGTAGTATTCAAACAAATATATAAAAAAGTTATAGAAATAGTGGTCCCTTTATTGAACACCACATAGAGAGTAAAAAACAAAGTATGTAATGAAAATCGATGTAATATTGTAAGTGCGGAATAGAAAGAGTAGTACTACGTATAAATTTCAAAATTATTTCAAATAATATATTATAGTGCGGAAGAAGACCAAGACTTGTCGTGCTAGTCGTTATACGCGCTTTATTCATTAAACAAATATTTAATATAAGAACGGAATTATGTCCATTCAAATAAAAAATCATCTCTAAATGTTTTTTTTTTTATTAATAGAACAAGAAATACAGAATAAGCGTATAACATAAATAATTTTTTATAAGTCTTATATAAAACTACCTCACATAAAATGTATAATACATTTTAGT